CCAGAGCCCATGCCGAAGCGTCCACTATTTAGAATGTTCATTGCTACTTTGAAACCATCACCAACTTCACCTAAGATATTTTCAGCTGGAACTGGAGTATTTTCAAAATTCACCTCAAAAAATAAATTACAAATATTAGCATATAAAATGGGACTTTCATGTTCCTGTTGTAAATTCATTGCAAAATCCACAGCTCACACAGAATGTACTCTTCAAAATACACACCTAGCCCTTATATTCATGGAAAACCATTGCCATTTTGAACTGGTATTAACAATCTGCTCTCTACTAGATAAATCTGAAAATACTGAAAATTTAAAACTGTGACAGATTGTGGTTACTTATTGCCATGATGATGGAGGCAGCAAGGACCTTGAAAACTACACGGAACTACAACCCAGAAGATAGCCATCTATGTACTTATCAACATGAGAATCTCAAACTCTACTTTGGTTATGGTTGTTACTCCAAATTATTGAAACAAAAAATCAGACACAATGAAACCCCTATTTAACCTTTTAGGTCTGTACAGAAAATATAAGGGCTGTTTAATAAACACTGAGAATGATTTTTTGTAAAATGTTTGAAGTCTTAAGGGAACTCATTTATGGTGGTTGGTAGCACCAACAAGTATAAGTCAGCATGTGGAGTTACATATCACTGCATGTTTAGTTGTGCTTGTCCTGTGACCTTGATTACAAGCTACAGCTATTTCACCCCCAAAGCCACACATCCATTATGATTGATGTTAAAGCATAACAACATGCTACATTGCAGAACAGTTCTCAAAACCCTCATGGACCATATCAGAAGAAAACAACTGGAGCTTGTTGAACACTGGATGCTTCATCATTACAATGCCAGATCACGTGATGCAAATAATGTCATTCAATTTTTGACAAGGGCATTCTGTATACCCCCACTCTCCCTACAGCCCATATCTAGTGCCTTGTGATTTATTTGTCCCCTACACTAACATGGTAGCTTCGAAGACAGTGCTTCCAGACTGCAGATGTTGCAGTCTAAGCTGTGAAGGTGATTTTAAAGATGATGTCCAAAAATGGCTTCAGCCATGTCTCTGATGAGTTGCAAAAATTCTGAGAAAAATATCGATTTCAGGGGAGCCTATTTTGAAAAATAATGCACTTGTAATAATTCAGAATACAGGAGGTATGTTTTAAAAAAATCATTCTCAGTCTTTATTGAACAACCCTCATCTATATCCCAGTAAGGAATGTATGTTCCTGGCCAAATGGGAAAATGCTGAGGTAAGTCTAAAGAGTTCTGATGATGGTGTGTTTTTAACAAATAACCAAGATAATAGACAAAGTCCAAAACAATGGTGAAGCTTATCAGAATATGTTATTTTACAAAATTAAAATTTATAAAAACACGAAGTTTGATAATTAGCACAATGAAAACACAAAATTACTTTGAAACAGCACAACATGCATACAAAGACTGAGCGGAGTGAAGGACCATGCTACGTAACAGTTGCCAGTGGCATAAAATCATTGTAAACATGTATGCCTGACCTTAACATGCCATTTTGTATATGGTAAATATTTCTTTATCTGAAAACATTATGTCAAGCACACTATTGTTTATGGCATTAAAATAAGAAGGCCTTTCATGCATGGCTTGCTGGTTGAGGCTTTGTACTGACTGACTGTTATTCTCCCTGCTCCCTTTCCTTCACCTACTCTCATGTGCCTGAGTCCAAACTCACAGATTCATGCTAGCTACTTCTACCATTCAGCTGAAGATCTTGAATGCAAAATTGGCTACATACAAGTTCAATGCAAAAAAGTCCATTCAACACTAAACCAAGGCTGTTAAAGTTCGAAATAAAATGTGGGTAAAACCTCCCATCTGAGAAATACTGAATAATAAAAAAACATTACATATGGTGGTTGAGATTTAACCAATGCCAAATTTAATGTAAATCTGTTCAGTAGTCTCAGACATAAAGCATACAGGCACATGGATAGACATAATGACATGAACATACTTCATGCACTCTGGCGAAGAAAACTAAAAAGTATATGCATATATTCTATAAACAGACTTATGGTTAGAAATCTAAACCTTACCTCACAAGTGTTTGATCCTCTGATTCCTAATTTATCTTCTGCTTTTCCACTGGTTACACCACCAAAATTCCTCTCAACTAAAAAAGCTGTCACAACATCCTGCTTTTCTCCTATATGGCCAGTTATCTGTAAAAAAAAGTATAATAAATAAGTTCCTAGTACTGGATTACCTTAATGTCAATCAAAGAAGAATATAACCCCAAGCAAGCTCATGTAATTCACATCAACACAAGCAAGATTCATGTTAATATTACTCTTCACTGATCAACTCTTTCCATTTTTACAGAGTTTCTTATACAGCACTGCTTGCTTGCAAAAGCTTAAGAACATTTTTTGTTGCTGAATGTTTTAACTAGCAATGTGTTCTGTGAGGACAATCAAGATATGGTTTTTTATGTTTTGCAATATACTTATTTTCAATTCAAATACCATCAACCTGTAAAGCCAGGAATTTAAATTTCCTGTCAACAGAGCTAAACATATTAACAAATTACAAAACACAAATCTGCAACATAATCATAATGTAATGCTAGAATAAGAAAGTAATAAAGCATTAAAATTTCAAAATTTATAAGTACAACATAAGAAATAGAAACTAGGCTCATAATAAAATCAGAACATATACTAAAGGTCGACCAGACTACACGGCACAATAACCCAGAAGACAGAAGTCTTCATACTCACCGCTGTGAAAATCTCAAATCTTACAAGTTTTATTTCTGTCCGTACAACAAAAGAAATATTTCATTATAACTTTAAAGCTGCTCAGGCTGCTCATGTATTGTCACATGTAATTACTAAACAAGTCACAAATAAGTACACAATACCAATTATCTAATTCTGAACATCACACAACATTCAGTAATTATACTTCACTTTTATAACTCTCAGGCAAAAAGGTCCACCCAAACCTGAAGTAAAAGCTACTGAAATATGAACAGCTTTTCATTTGTTGCTAAAACACTTTCATTTGTTTCACATACCTCTGTTTTTGCAAAAACTGTAAACAAGTTCGCAATGCCACCATTACTGATCCAAATTTTGCTTCCATTCAATATCCATGTATTTTTGTCATCAGACAGTTGTGCTCGTGTTTGGATGGAAGCAGCATCAGATCCACTTCCAGCTTCTGTGAGACAAAATGCTGCAATCCACTCCCCTGTTGCTAGACGAGGAAGATAGCGACGTTTCTGTTCCTCATTACCAGCAATGAGAATTCCCTGAAATTAAAATAACTGCTTATCAAAAAAAGTGGCTTCCTGCTGGTCAACAGACAGGTTATAATGGGGAGTACAAGAGTGCTTTCAGCTATGGTAAACATGCTGGCAAACATATAGCAGTGTATGAAAATTAATTTGAAGGTGCTTTAGAGCAAAACATAGGCCAAAGATCTGCCAGGTTTATAATATGGTGACAACTTCCTTATGCTTCTTTTACTCACATAACATTGTTTTTTAGTCACACTATTTACTGACAGATATCTTGTATTTTTATTGGTAAAGTTAAAAACAGGCCGAAGCTGAAGGTTAATTTTACAAGGAGTATGGTTGCAGATGACATGTGGTGTGGACTAAAGTGCAGTCACCATACTGAAATGATGTATAACTATCTGGATCCTCCTGTCATTAAATGGCACATTACCAGCACTGAACACTGAAAATATGAAGCAGTAAAATCGAACCTTGAGTCCTATGGCTTGGTGTGCTGCTAGTGTTACTGCAATTGATCCATCTATTGAAGTGACCTCACCTAACCGGGCATACTCGGTGGCATTCAAACCTAAACCACCATATTCCTCTGGAATTTGCTGACCAAATAAACCAAAAGACTTCAACTGATCTAATGTTTCTTGAGGGATATGACCAGTTGCATCAATCTTTTTGGAGTCAACTATAACAGGAAACCAAGAAGTATAATTCATTATTAAAATTCAAAGCAAAATTACACATTTCCTTTGTGTTAAGCATGAAATTTATATTATGTTACTAATTATCTGTTGAAAAATGCTGTGTGGAGTTTCCTAACTTTCTGGTGCCCTACTGCATCATCTACAATACTCACTTTCCACATACTCCACATAACCTGAAGAATATGTTTTGAACCAATCTGGCCATCACTAGGTTCAATTCCCTGCTCCTATGTCATTACATTAAAGACCTCCTCCCTGATGGTCAGAAATAATAACTAGATATTAAAACATTTATAATTATAAATGTACAATGTCATAGAAACAGGAAATTTAACCTGATGATGGTCATATTGGTTTGAAGCACTGAAACACGTTGTCCAAGTGAACGGACAATGAACAATGTATGTATTTGTGTGGGTGAAAAGTATTGGA